AGTCAGGAGGCACAGAGCTGCCGTGAAACTGGAAAACTCTAGCAGATGCCTTTTACTGGGTGTTGTAAGTTTTGGGTCTGCTTTCGAAAGTCTCTCATCTCCAGCACTGGTGCCTGCCATAAAGGGCCCGTGCACCTTGCATTAATGGGTGCATCAGACCTATTGGCCTCCCAGAGCTTAACCCAATGGCACGATAATAGGGCCAAGCCTCCACCCCATAATCTGAACTGGATATGGTGTCTTTCTCATATAGCTTACCCAATGGCTTCATTTCAGTGAGAGATTGAAGAATGTACATGTAGGCTTGTGCTTAAAGAACAAATAACAGTACAGCACAGGAACAGGCCCTTTGGCCCACCAAGGTTGTGCCAACACACGCCTTTCTAAATTAAAAGCCTTTTGCCTCTATGTTCTCCATATCCCTCGATTCCCTGCCTATTTATATCTGTCAAGATGCCTCTTGAACGTTGCTATTTTATCCGCCTCCACCTCTGGGCAGTGAATTCCAGGCACTTACCACCCTGTGTGTAAATAAACTTGTCTCTCACATCTCCTTTAAACTTACCCACTTTTACCTTAAACCTATTGACATTTCTACCCTGGGAAAAAGACTCTGACCATCCATTCTATCCATGCCTCTCAAAATTTTGTATCCATTTATCAGGACTCCCCCTCGTCCTTCGACGCTCAATTGAAAGTAAGCCACGTTTATCCAGTCTCTCCTCACAGCTAACAAGGACATAGCTAATCAAGACAAAGCAGCTCACTTGATTGGCCCTCCACCACCGACGCTCAGTAGCAGCAGTGTGTACTATCTACAAGATGCACTGCAGAAATTCACCAAAGATCCTCAGACAGCACTTTCCAAACCCACGATCACTTCCACCTAGAAGGACAAGGGCAGCAGATACATGGGGACACCACCACCTCCAAGTTCCCCTCCAAGCCACTCACTATCCTGACTTGGAAATATATCGCCGTTCTTTGACTGTCGCTGGGTCAAAATCCTGGAATTCCCTCCCTCAGGGCATTGTGCGTCAATCCACAGCAGGTGGATTGCAGCGGTTCAAGAAGGCAGCTCACCACCACCTTCTCAAAGGGCAACTAGGGATGGGCGATAAATGCTGGGCCCAGCCAGCGACGCCCACATCCCACAAATAAATAAATCAAGGACATCAGTGCTGTTTTCAAGGAGCCCCCTGCCCTGGCTGTTGGACCAGGCTGAGAGTTGAGATAATTGCCTCCCGCTGTGTCAGTTGTAAAATAACAAATTGGTGTCTGGTTTTATTACACAAATTTATCATTGATAGCCCCTTTTAAACCATTATGAATTCAGTTTTTATTACGCGGCCTTAATCCCTGAATTCTTTACCGGAAAGATACTGTGTACAAGATGATAAGAGGCATAGATAGAGTGGATAGCCAGAGATTTTTTCCCAGGGTGGAAATGACTATTACGAGGGGGCATAATTTTAAGGTGATTGGAGAAAGCTATAGGGGAGATGTCAGAGGTAGTTCTTCACACAGAGAGTGGTGGATGCGTGGAATGCGCTGTTAGCAGTGGTGGTGGAGTCAGATACATTAGGGATATTAAAGTGACTCTTGGATAGGCACATGGATGATAGTAAAATGTAGAGCATGCAGGGTAGTTTGATCTTAGAATAAGATAATAGGTTGGCACAACATCGTGGGCCGAAGGGCCTGCCTTGTGCTGTACTGTTCTATGTTCTAATTGTTTTTCTAAAGTCATAAAACATCAAACTGGAGCCCATGAACAAAGTTCAGGTCTTGTAACTTCACCATTTTACTTTGCTCCTCTGGTGTTCTATCTCAGAGTAGATGTTCTTGAAATAGCTTGGGAGGATAGAGCACAGATTAGCCCGTATGTTCTCAGGAACAAAAACAGAAGTTGCTGGAAAAGGTCAGCAGGTCTGGCAGCATCTGTGGAGAGAAATCAGGGTTAATGTTTCAGGTCAAGTGACCCTTCCTCAGAACTGATGGTAGCTAGGAAAATATTAGTTTTTATGCAGAAAATAGGGTGGGAGGAGTGGGGTAAGGAGTAAACGATAGGTGGGGATAGAGAGAGAAGAACAGTTGGACAGACAAAGGAGTGGATAACGATCAGCCTGCGCAAATGAATAGCTGCTAATGGAGACTATTAGTGGCTAACAATGGGTTGTGTGTAATAGCAGACCATGTGATAACAAGGCCTGGTTTGTGGGGATTGGGGTAAGGACGTGGGAGAAGGTGCCCATCATCTAGAACTGGAAAAATTCTATCCAATACGTTCTCATGTTGGGTGAAACTCCGCTCTGGCTCTGCTGGTTCATGAAATCCATCCTGTAATTCCACTGTAAAGGAGCTGGAGTATGAACAGCTCCAACAGATTGCTTTCGATGGAACCCCTCATAGGGCACTCTGAACAGAACGCTGGGGAAATCGCAACATGCTGACCAGCAGTTTGCCTGATGCCAGTAGCCAGTTGAACCTCAGACAGACAACAACAGATCTCAATCCAGTGTTCGCCAGTTATTCAACCTGCATTGTTTACTGGTTGACCATTTTTGACCAATGTAAGGTACAAAAACAGAAACTGCTGGAGAAGCTCAGCAGGTCTGGCAGCATCTGTGGCGAGAAATCAGAGTTAATGTTTCGGGTTGAGTGATCCTTCCTCAGAACCCTGTTGTGTAAGCTACTGGTTCTGATAGAGTAAATGTTACGTGGACTGTGCTGAGGGAAAGGGAAGGCAGTTTAGGATCCCTGCAGTTGGAAGCAAACCATCTGACCCATAGAGTCCACAATGACTCTCTGAAAAGCATTCCAACCAGACGCATCCACCTTACCGTATCCCTGCATTTCCCCTAGCCAACACATCTCTGAACACTATAGTCAACTTAGCATGGCCAGTCTACCCAACCTGCACATGTTTGGACTGTGGGAGGAAACCCACACAGACATGGGGAGAATGTGCAAACTCTACACAGACAGTCATAGAATCCCTACAGTGTGGAAACAGGCCCTTCGGCCCAACAAGTCCACACTGAATCTCAAAGCATCCCACCCCGCTATAACCCACCTAATCTACACATCCCTGAACACTACGGGCAATTTAGCATGGCCAATCCACCTAGCATGCACGTCTTTCAACTGTGGGTGTGGGAGGAAACCCACGCAGACACGGGGAGAATGTGCAAACTCCCCACAGACAGTCGCCTGAGGGTGGAATCAAACCCAGGTCCCTGGTGTAGTGAGGCAGCAGTGCTAACCACCGAGCCACCAAGTCAATTTACAGAGTGAAGACTTAGGTCTCCTCACTGTTTAAGGAACAATGTCTGTCTTACTCATGTAGCTCACACGTGGTTGCCATCATGCATCTTGTTTAAGGCAGGAACCTTTCCTGACGTGGTGGCAGCAAACTAACCCAACCCTGAACGGGTAATGGTTTGCATTCCAACACATACAACCAAATGTCACATGCAAGATGTTATCAAAAACTTGGCTGCCATTCATGCCTTTGTGTTGTCACATTAGTTGCCATCAAATCACCCCCAACACTCAGTCATGAAGTGGCTTTTATAACTTGCCCAGCTCCTTGCAACTGAATATTTTATCTGCTTCAGACCATTATACATAGTATTGTGAGGAGCCTGCAAGGAAAAAGATGACAGTGCTGTGCTGTGGTGCAGAATTTTTCAGATCAGAGAGTGTTATTTCAGCCTCACATCTCTCGCTGCATTTGCCATGGAACGTGAACTGTAATTTGTACTTTCTGGTCCTGCTGTCATGTAAAATTGTACCCGGAAAGGTTAATAAGAGTTTCCTGACCTTTCACAAGTTTGTACGCGCGTCTGCTGTTGAGCTCACTCTTAACTTCAAAGAGAGAAACCTCTGCCATTTGCAGTAACGAAATATCCTGAACCAGACATCTGTACACCAACTCTCATCGTTCACTGTACTACTCACAGCTCTGGAGTTTAATCCTTTCAACCTGTCCGCTCCCTCTAACAGGCAGGATTAATTTTCTCTGAGACCACACCAGGCACCTTGACAGTCACATGGAGCAATTTGGTGTGATATAGCTGCCATGGGGGAAGACTGAAATCAGACAGCACATTGCTGTCATCAGCTCCTCGTACACCGATCCTTCCTGACCGATACGTGCAGTGAAAGTAAGAAAGCACCTACATTTCAAAAACTTCCCTAATCTCGAGGCGTGGATTTCCAACCAGTGGCAGTCGAAAGAACTGCGGATGCTGTAAGTCAGAAGCAAAAACAGAAACTGCTGGTCTGGCAGCGTCTGCGGAGAGACATCAGAGTTAATGTTTCGGGTCAGGTGACCCTTCCTCATAACTGGAACTATTTTAGACGTGCAGTCACTGTGAAAAACGGGGCAGCCAATGTGCACAACAGTTCACACAAACAACAACACGATAATGGCCAGATAATAGGAGACAACAAGGTGCAGAGCTGGATGAACACAGCAGGCCAAGCAGCATCATAGGAGCAGAAAGGCTGACTGGGATGCTTCCACAGATCCTGTTGTAATGCATAAACACTGGATAGAGGCCAGGATTTGGTTATGTGCTCGATTAGGTTCCAAGTGCCTCATGAGAACCTTGAGAGAAGCATCAGAAATGTATTTCTGATGAAGGGTCTAGGCCCAAAACGTCAGCCTCTCTGCTCCTATGATGCTGCTTGGCCTGCTGTGTTCATCCAGCCCTGCACCTTGTTGTCTCGGATTCTCCAGCATCTGCAGTTCCTCCTATCTCTGATTCAATGGCCGGATAATATGTGTGTTTGTAGTGTGTGCACAGCCACCCACCTTATATTCCTCATTCATTGCTCGGACAGTCTTCCTGTAGCTGATGCCTTTTATTACTCTAAGTAAAAACCAAAAGAGTGAGTTAAATACTGAATCAACGTACAAATGCAAATGCAACGTACAAATGTTAAATACTGAATAAAAACCGAAAGAAACTTTTTTTTTTATTCCCCTTCAGTGTGGAGACGATCAACGATGGACAATTTCACACTGTTGAGCTGATGATGATGAATCAATCACTGAGCCTGGTCGTTGATAAAGGAACCCCCAGGAGCCTGGGGAAGCTGCTGAAACAACCAACTCTGAGCCTGAACTCCCCGCTGTATATTGGAGGTGGGTTTCTTCGTCACTTTCTCCATTAGCCACAGGGAAAGGGGCAGCAGATGTTTGCTCTCAAAGTGAGCTTTGGTTGTGAATGAGCTTCTTCTTGCAGTCTATTTCGTTTTGCATTTGTACATTGATAAAGTTGCGCGCAGCTTGAAGGTCAGTCATTTCAGGGCTCACCAAAGCCCACCGTTCAAAATGTGAGAACCCCCCCATTTCGCTCCATCTTGCTGGAGACGCGTAAACAGAGCAGGCGTAAAGTTTCTCGGAGATCGCAAGAACTGCAGATGCTGGAGCCTGAAATAACACAGTGTGGAGCCTGAGGAACACAGCAGGCCAGGCAGCTTTACAGGAGTAGGAAAGTCGACGTTTCGGGTCGGGAGCCTTCTTGAAGAAGGGTCCCGACCCAAAACGTCGACTCTCCTGCTCCCCTGATGCTGGCTGACCTGCTGTGTCCCTCCAGCTCCGCACTGTGTTGAGACGTGTGTAAAGTTTTGCACATTTACCTATGATGCAGGAATGTTTGGTGTCTGCAAACTGTGAGGGTGGACTTGCCAGGTGCATCATTCTGAGGTAAAGGATGTGAATATGAGTCCAAAATTCTACAAGTTCTTTGTGAATTGTTGCTGGGGGTGGAAGCAGTGGTTGGTGGTGAAGATAGGAGGAGATGACCTTTGAAGACGTACTTGCCAAGCCTGACCATTTGTGTGAGGTCGTTGAGTGCTTGAACACTCCATTGAAGTGGAGAGGCCATGGCTTAGTGGTATTATCACTGGACTATTTTATCCAGTAATAACCTGGGGAGCTGGAATCAAATCCCACCAAGGCGGCTGGTGGAATTTGGATTCAATTAAAAATCTAGAATTGTGAGACCAACGATGATCGTGAAACCATTGTTGATTGTCAGGAAAAACCAATCTGGTTCCATAATGTCCTTTAGGGAAGGAAACTGCCATCCTTACCTGGTCTGGCCTACATGTGACTCCAGACCCACAGCAATGTGGGTGACTCTGAACTGCTCTCTGTGCAATACATGCTGGCCTAACCAGCAACGCACTTATCCCATGAATGGATTAAAAACAAAATGGTGGTTGGATCTGTGCTCCTGTCCTTCCCTTCTGTAGCTATGTGTTTGCATGGCTTATCACCATTCTCCTGGACCCAATGGAATGTGGATCTCCCTCTTCTCTCCATCCTACGAGCAACTGCATTGCAGCCTCAGGTAAACTTTGGTGCATACACTCACCATAGTTGGCCACTGGACCCCAGACCGTCAAAAGTCCCATTTTCACTTCGGACAATACAGGCAACTATGAGTGAATAAATGCAGATGCTGGAATCTGTCCTGAAAACAACAAACACTGGAGATCACAGCGGATCAGGCAGCATCCGTGGAGAGAGAGCAAGCTAACGTTTCGAGTCTAGATGACCGTTCATCACAGCTGAAGTGCAGTGTGCTATGTGTTTCCTAAAAGTGAGGATCATGCTTTTCCATCAGTGTGATCCCATCGGTCGCTCAGTGCGATCCCATCAGTCGCTCAGTGTGATCCATCAATCGCTCAGTGTGATCCCATCAGTCGCTCAGTGAGATCCCATCAGTCGCTCAGTGTGATCCCATCAGTCGCTCAGTGAGATCCCATCAGTTGCTCAGTGATCCCGTCAGTCGCTCAGTGAGATCCCATCAGCCTGTCAGTGTGATCCCATCAGCCTCTCAGTGAAATCCCATCAGCCTCTCAGCGAGATCCCATCAGCCTGTCAGCGCGATCCCATCAGCCTCTCAGCGAGATCCCATCAGCCTGTCAGCGCGATCCCATCAGCCTCTCAGTGAGATCCCATCAGCCTCTCAGTGTGATCCCATCAGCCTCTCAGCACGATCCCATCAGCCTCTCAGCGCGATCCCATCAGCCTCTCAGTGAGATCCCATCAGCCTCTCAGCACGATCCCATCAGCCTCTCAGTGAGATCCCATCAGCCTCTCAGCACGATCCCATCAGCCTCTCAGCGCGATCCCATCAGCCTCTCAGCGCGATCCCATCAGCCTCTCAGCGCGATTCCATTAGCCTGTCAGTGAGATCCCATCAGCCTCTCAGCGCGATTCCATCAGCCTCTCAGCGCGATTCCGTCAGTCACTCAGCGTGATCCCATCAGTCACTCAGTCAGATCCCATCAGCCTCTCAGCGAGATCCCATCAGCCTCTCAGCGTGATCCCATCAGCCTGTCTGCGCGATTCCATCAGCCTCTCAGTGAGATCCCATCAGCCTCTCAGCACGATCCCATCAGCCTCTCAGCGTGATCCCATCAGCCTCTCAGTGTGATCCCATCAGCCTCTCAGTGAGATCCCATCAGCCTCTCAGCACGATCCCATCAGTCTGTGTGTGATCCCATCAGCCTCTCAGTGTGATCCCATCAGCCTCTCAGTGAGATCCCATCGGCTGCTCCCTGAATCTTATTCGCTGCTCCCTGAGTTCTATTCGCCACACAAGCTGATCTCCTTCATTGCTCATTGTTTCCCGCACCTTTCTGTCCTGAGATGGTTTCGGCTGAGGTGTCCAGGTGATGGTGTGACAGGAGACCCCTGAGAATGCAGTGTGGCCTAGGGGTCCTTGTGCCAGCCTTTGCAAACCATGAGTATGAAGCTACAACACGTAAGGAAAAGTAATAGAATGTTATCATTTATTGCTGGGTGCAGGATTGGGGGTACAGAACACAAAAGTAGAGAGAAACAGAAACAGATATTGCTAGAAAAGTTCAGCAGGTCTGGCAGCATCTGTGGAAAGAAATCAGAGTTAACGTGTTGGGTCCAGTGACCCTTCCTCAGAACTGATGGCAGCTAAGGAACTATTGGTTTTTATGCAGAAGATAGGGGGGGAGGAGGGGATACGGAGTAAATGATAGGTGGAATTAGAGCCCAAAGAGAGAGAAGAACAGTTGGACAGACAAAGGAGTGGATAACAATCAGGCTAGGAGGGTGAATAGCTGTTAATGGAGACTGGTTGTTGCTAACAATGGGTTGTGTGTAATAGGAGACCATGTGATAACTGGGCCTGAGGCATGGTGGTTGGGGTAAGGTCCCTCAAACCCTAAAGTTATTGAACTTGATATTGAGTTTGGAGTGCTGCAAGGTTGCCGAGTGGAAAATGAGGTGCTGTTGTTCCAGCTTATGCTGAGCTTCACTGGAGCACTGCAGCGAGCCTGAGGCAGGTATGTTGGCCAGGGAACAAGGTGGTGTGTTAAAGCAGCAGGCAACTGGAAGCTCAGGGTCTTTTTTTTGTGGACAGAATGTGGAGAGATTGCCTCAATGATACAGCGCACAGGTGAGACTGTCTCTGAAATACACCACAATATTGGTCACCTTATCTCAGGATGATACCTCATAGCGAAAGTTCGCTAGACTAATACATGGAATGGGTAGATTGTGTTAGACTTGTGCTAGATTTGTATCCGCTGAGATTGAGAGGAAAAAGAGGTGATTTGATTGAAGCACACAAAATCCTGAACAGATCTTGACAGAGTAGATTGGAGAGGTGTTTCTTCATCTGGGAAAGGCTCGAGTAAAGGATGACTGTTTAAGAATATGGGATTGTCCGTTTAAAACTGGGATTAGGTGAGTTACATTTGGAACACTTTGAAAAGTGATGAAAGTAGAGTCATGGAGTATTTTTAAAACAGTGGTGGTGGATCCTTGTCAAACGCAGAGTTGAGAGGTTATCAAGGATAAACAGGAATGTGGATCTGAGTTTACAATCGGATCAACCATGGTCCTGTTGAATGGTGGAACAGGCTGAAGGGACTGACTGGCTTTCTCCTCCTGATTTATATGTTTGAATGTAAAATGTGCTATTTCTAAATGTAACATTCAGCCACTTCTATCAGCCTTCGCACACAATCTATAGCATAAAAACTATCAGCCCTAACCAGGGACATGGTGGCTCAGTGGTTAGCACTGCTGCCTCACAGCACCAGTGACCCAGGTTCAATTCCACCCTTGGGCAATTGTCTGTGTGGAGTTTGTACATTCTACCTGTATCTGCATGGGTTTCCTCCTACAGTCCAAAGATGTGCAGGTTAGGTGGATTAGCCATAGGAAAAACTTTTCAAGGAACACAACTTCCCCCCCACAGTGGTTGAAAACTCCTTTGACCACACCTTTTGCGTTCCCCTCACACCCCCTCCCCACAATAACAACAAAGACAGAATTCCCCTCGTCCTCACCTATCACCCCATCAACCTTTTGGATTCAACGCATCATTCTCTGCCACTTCCACCAGCTGCAATCTGAACCCACTACCAAGGATAGATTTCCCTCCCCACCCTTATCTGCTTTCCGGAGGGTCCGCTCTTTCCATGACTCTCTCATCCGCTCCACACTCCCCTCCAGCCCTACCACACCCGGCACTTTTCCCTGCAACCGCAGGAAGTGCTACACCTGCCCCTACACCTCCCCCCTCACCCCCATCCCAGGCCCCAAGAAAACCTTCCACATAAAGCAGATGTTAACCTGCACATCTGCTAATGTCCGCTGTTCCAGATGTGGCCTCCTCTACATCGGGGAAACCAAGCGGAGGCTTGGGGACCGCTTTGCGGAACACCTACGCGCAGTTCGCGACAGACAACTGCACGTCCCAGTCGCGAACCATTTCAACTCCCCCTCCCATTCCTTGGACGACATGTCCATCCTGGGCCTCTTGCAGTGCCACAACGATGTCACCTGAAGGTTGCAGGAACGGCAACTCATATTCCGCTTGGGAACCCTGCAGCCCAATGGTATCAATGTGGACTTCACAAGCTTCAAAATCTCCTCTCCCCCTACCACATCCCAATACCAGCCCAGCTCGTCCCCGCCTCCCTAACCTGTTCTTCCTCTCACCTATCCCCTCCTCCCACGTCACTGACCAACCCCCACCCCCACTTCCTGCCTACAATCACCTCATCTCTACTAGCCTCATCCCCGCCTCCTTGACCCGTCTGTCTTCCCTCCCACCTACCCAGCCCTCCCTCCTCACTGACCAACTCCCCACCTGCACTCACCTTTACTGGCTCCATCTCCACCTCCTTGACCTGTCCGACTTCTCTCCCACCTATCTGGTCCACTATCCACCTTCCATCATCGCCTCCCCCTCTCTCTATTTATTTCAGAGCCCCCTTCTCCCTCCCACATTTCTGAAGAAGAGTCCAGACCCGAAACGTCAGCTTTCCTGCTCCTCTGATGCTGCCTGGCCTGCTGTGTTCATCCAGCTCCACATCTTTGTTATCTCAGGCTCCAGCATCGGCAGTTCCCACTATCTCTGAGTGTTTACTGCGGTTGTGTGTATCCCTTAATTATCTGGAATATTTCACAAGCTGGCACATGCCTGATCCCGAAGGTGTCGTATATTGCTGCATATTGGCTAGGTATCAGAGACAGCATGCATTTTATTGTGGATAAGCCCCCTTATAAGGCTACGTCTCTGTACATAATTTCACCTGTAAGATGCACCTCTGGCAGTACTGCACTCCCTCAGTATGGCACTGAAATCATAAGGTAGTCAACAAGCATATAGAATTGGACCCCATGTACAAACCCATACAGAACAAAGCCGGAAACGACACTACTCACCATAACAGACTGGACAGTATAAATTCCAAGCAGAGTAGAATAACATCGCTTCATCGGAGGCCTCGCTGATGATGTTACCTAGCATGGTGACGAAACGTCTGAACGAGAACCAGCCAGCTCGGTGAGCAAGTCAACAACCTCACCCACAACCCGAGCTACACATCTTTGCCAAAACTTCAAACTGAAATCTTAGGCTGGAACTTCAAAGTTGAGAATGTTACTCGGGGGTTGTGAGGTTGACTTGGGTTCATTTTGAGAAATCCATGAATCCCCACCGTGCCTCTCTTAAACATTGCGCCAATTGTTTGTCGTTAAAGGCATCCCCCCGGTCTCAGGGGTAGCAGCGCTCCGCCAGGGACCTGACCACAATCTCAACGGTTTCCATGGCTGCATTCACAATGTGCGCATCAACAATGAGCTGCAGGATTTCAGGAGCTTGGCCCAGATGCCCCTGGGCGTCTCTCCAGGATGCAGGTCCTGCAACATCTGCAAAAACGGTGTGTGCCGCTCGCTCGATCAGTCCGGCATCACCTGCGATTGCCATCCTGGCTGGATGGGGCCGCTGTGCGATCAGGAAGCCCAGGATCTCTGTGCTAACAACAAGTAAGTAATGGATCTCACTAACCCACCACAGAAGGTAACTTCTCCGTTGTGGCGTGGAATACTAATGTGTCGCTTTGTTTTGATTAAACTGTTGATTAAAACTGTGTCCAGTTCTGCCCTCCCTGTTATAACAAGGATGTTATTAAGCTGGAGAGGGTTCAGAAAAGATTTACCAGGATGTTGCTGCGAATGGAGGGTTTGAGTTATAAGGAGAGGCTGGCTAGACTGGGATGTTTTTCACTGGAGCATAAGAGGTTGAGGGGTGACCTTGTAAAAGTTTATGCCCCATGAAAGGGTACAGGTAAGGTAAAAGGCAGGTGTCTTTTCTCTAGGGTGGGGATTTCAAGACTGGGGGCATGTTTTTAAGGTGAGAGGAGAAAGATTTTAAAAAGTCAAGAGGGGCAAACTTTTTCACACAGAGAGTGGTTCGTGTGTGGAAGGAACTTCCAGAGGAAATGGTGGATGCGGGTACAATTAGAATGTTTAAAAGACATTTGGGTAAGTACATGAATAGGAAAGGTTTGGAGGGATATGGGCCAGGAGCAGGCAGGTGGGACTAGTTTAGTTTGGGATTGTGGTCGGCATGGATTGGTTGGACCGAAGGGTCTATTTCCATGCTGTGTGACTCAATGACTCTAAAATAGGCAAGAAGTGAACTTGCATCCTGCTTTCCCTCGCCTTAATGTGAGTGAGCTTTGAGTCCCTTGTTTCCTTTCATCTATCTTTTTAAAAATGCTGCAGTTCTGTCTGTACAACGCACTGGGATGTACATCACTGTTCGTAAGCAAGTTGACAGCCAACAGCGCCATCTGCTGTTGAGTGATTCCTGCCCCCTTTCAAGAGAAAAATGACCCTGTTCCCTGGCCACTTGTTTCTCCTGTCATAAATCATACAGGCATCTTGTCTTTTCCAGAGAGAAGTATTACATTCTATGATAGTTGAATCCTCTTGCCCCAGTTCTGGTACAATCTAGGCATCGAGTAATCGAGCTGTACAGCACAGAAACAGAGTCTTCGGTCCAACTTGTCCATGCCGATCAGATATCCTAAATTAATCTAGTCCCATTTGCCAGTATTTGGGCCATATCCCTCTAAACCCTTCCTGTTCATATACCCATCCAGATACCTTTTAAATATTGTAATTGTACCAGCCCCCACCACTTCCTCTGGCAACTCATTCCATACACACACCACCCTCTGTGTGAAAAAGTTGCCCTTTAGGTCCCTTTTATATCTTTCCCCTCTCACCTTAAACCTATGCCCTTTAGTTTTTGACTCCCCTACCCTGGGGAAAAGACCTTGGCTATTCAACCTGTCCATGCTCCTCATGACTTTATAAACATCTATAAGGTCACCCCTCAGCCTCCGATGCTCCAGGGAAAATAGCCCCAGCCTATTCAGTCTCTCCCTGTAGCTCAAACCCTCCAACCCCAGCAACACCCTTGAAAAACTTTTCTGAACCCTTTCGAGTTTCACAACATCTTTCCTGCTGCGGGGAAACCGGAATTGAACGCAATATTCTAAAAATGGCCTAACTAATGTCTTTTCTACAATGCTTCGACATTGTTTGTTCGTGGTAGCATAATTAACTTATTTATGTGGCACCTTCAACAAATCAAAACACATACAGCAGAATTATTGAACAATTTGAACACGTAAGATGACACAAGGACTGTTAACTGAGAGCCTGTTCGTGGGTGAAGGGTTTAAGAAGTGCCTTTAAAACAGGAAAAACAAGAGACACCGAAAGGTATGGGAGTGGTTGGATTAATATTGTTGTCAGTGGTGGGGTGATGAGTATTGAGGATACGAGAGAGGCCAAAATTGGGAGGCGCGCAGAGAACTGAGGGTTATAGGGAGAGTGCGAACGGAGAAATATATAACAATAACACTGCTCACAGTGTTCTGAGTCCATCAGATTAACATTACTGTTCTGCTTTCTGTGCTCTTAGAATACAAAGAACTTTGAACTTTTCATGGCCGTGTGAACTTTTAAAGCCACCTTCAGAGATGTTTACGTCTGGATTCCTGAAACACCTTCGTCATCCATTCCATTTTGTTTCTTCCTAGAAATGAATAACCTCCTTATTTCTGATATCAGGGTAAACTACCTCCAAACTGCAACACATCGAACGTCATTTTCCAGTCGTCCCCTGACTTTGAAACCTTTTTCACGTCTTCTTGTATTTCAGTACATTCCTCCACATTATTACCTCCAACCTGCACCACCTAGTGACACTATCAGTATAATTTACGACGAATACTCCAGTTTCTGAGTTAAGTTAATTGTGAACAGCAGCAGTCTCAACAAAGATTGTTGTGAGACATGACATCCCATTTCTAACTCTGTCACATTTCTCCCCGGTTTTCTGTTCTGTAGCTACTTTTCAGTTCGTTCTGCTACCATCCCCTGGTTGTATATGCTATGACCTTTGAGACCTTTCTTTGGCACATTATCAAAAGACTTCTCGCAGATACATTTCAGTACAGTCTTCCACATGATTGCTTCCAACCTTCACCACCGCACCTCACCTTTTAATCCATCAATATATTTTATGGTCTGTCTGGGATTCCCCAGAGAGCAGGCCAAAGACTGAGCTCTTGCACTTAAGAAAGACTGTTTGTTCCTTTATTTTTCCACTTAATACGAGGAAGGACTGTAATGTTAACTTTTAACTTTACTTCTTCTTAAACTAAGAACAATGGCAATGCTTTACTTTTAACTTTGTTTCTCTATGTTACTATTTGTTTCTAGGTTTTGTGCCTGGGTACCTAAGATGGTACCGTGTGTGGCGAAATTGTACACTTTTCACTGTACTCCTGTACATCTATACTTGAGTACACGTGACAATAAAGCTTAAAACAAATCAGATACTGCATCCACTGCACTGACCTTGTCCATTTTCCATCGAAGAATGCAACAAGATTCACATGACCTACCTTTTTGCCTAATTCTGACTCTAAACATGGAGTTTCTACATCTTCTGGCAAATATTCTGACACATGACTCACATGAAACTAAGTGTCCCAGTGTTCACTGCAACGATTCAGCAAAGTTTATCATTGAGAATCTCCACTACTTGTGTCTTATACACAGCTCAGTAATATTTTGGGTCTCATCATTCCTCAGGGAGATCAGATTGGTTTAGATGTTGAATCCTGCCAGATATATTTGCAGGGGTCCGTGCTTTTCATTGATAACTTCACTTATCTCACCTGCCAGGTGCGTTCACGGGACGTGTGTAGCGTCTGACTCTGCATACCGCTGTCTGTGCAAGGAAGGCTATGTTGGCAAACTCTGCGACAAAGGTCAACTGATGGACAACTGTCAGAACCTGAAGTGTGACCACGGCCGCTGTAAGATCTCTGGGCAAGGGGAGCCGTATTGTGAGTGTAACACCAACTTTACCGGAGAAACTTGCCAAACAGGTAAGGAAAGAGAAAGGATGTTGACTCTTAAAGCTTCACAACATGCTCAGAGCCCACTGGAGGGTCTTGACCACCAGATGAGGCTCATCTGCCGCCTTGGCTTGAGAAGGCCCACCATGTTTCCTGCCAATCGGGCACATGACAGGCTAGCAGTGGGCCTTTCCCTGGAATCAAAGATGCCAGGGACGGGGATCCAGTCCACTGAGAGCTGCCAGCCAATTAAACAGCCAATCAAAAGGAGGCAGCTATTCTATACTCGGTGGCGCCACCGGAGGATTAGTGGTTACTGTCGGTACATCGCCCACCCAAGGTTTCAGGGACCCATGCACGTTTAGGAGAAATAGCGGGAAGGGGTTTTGGAGTGGGGGAGGGGGGTGTGGTGGAGTGGGAGAGGGATTTGGGCAGGTGGATGATTCTGGTCAGTAGGAAGTAGGGTGGGGGGAGCTGGCTGTCACTCGCAGTCACCCCACCCCGAAATCATAATGGTACGTGCCTTGATTGGACAACCAAGTGCCTGACAATGAGGGACCCAAGTTGCTGTCTTTTCCCTCTATCCCAGGTCCTTCCTGGGTTCAGAGGGCAAACATACCAAGGTTTGTTTGTCCTAATGGGTTCAATTCCAATGAAGGCCCTGAGTAGACTTCATTTTCCCACTTAAAGGCCTGCTTTGGTTGCAGGGCCTTCCTGTGATGGACTTATTCAGGGGTAAAGGCTGGAAAGAGGCAGAGATCCAATCCTGTTTCCTCTGGCCAATTAATTGTTAACCCACAGCCCTGGTGGGGCAGGGCATATAATTCCACCTCTTTTCTGGTGAATTGACCAACACTTCACCCAATGTCAATGTCACATTTTTATTGTTGGTAATTACAAAGCCATCAACATTTATCCCAATATTTCGTGCCACTCACCATAACTGACTGGACCTTGAACCAGATCAGTAATTAAGGGAGGTAGAGTGTAGTATTTATAAGGACCTCACACACTCCTATAGCAATCCCATAATCCACCCCGTTTCTCGGGAAGACTAAGAGTGAGCAGTCCTCGAATTCACACCATTCTGCACTCCCCACTTGCTTATAACTTCACTGACTTTGCTTACAGCTGTTATTCGACCAACTTTGTCTTGTTTGTATCCATATAAAAATTCACCTGCCATTCATCTTCATTTCTCCAGGACCTTTTAGACGCAGCTAAAATATTTACCAAACCGGGAGATTGTAACTCTCAGAAGGGCTGAACAATCTGGGTATCTTTTCTGTAGGAAAGAGAAGGCTGAGGGGTGACTTAATGCAGAGCTTTGAAATTATATGAATGGGTTCGATAGGATAACGTGGAGAGGCTACTTCCAGAAATAGGGATGATATCTGAAAACTCCAATAAGGAATTCAGGAAAATTTCTTCACCAAAGAATATTTTAACGTGAAGCCCACTAACACATGGATTCTTTGGGTAACATAACAGAAAGGTCAATTAGCATATGAGGATGAAGGGAATTGTAATGCATAAACACCAGCATTAAACTGGCCACAGTATGTGCTGTGCATTCTGTGTGGTAATAGTATAAGTCGAAATGAGGAGCATTTAAATGTTTGCCCTTAAATCTGAGCAGTCCCACTCATGAAGCCCATTGTTTTATCTTCCCGTCCTGATTCTTCCTCCTCAGTTGATTCTGTTTGAATGCCCTGACCTTTTCACCTCAGGAAAAGATGTGATCGTGTATCTATTGACCTTACCTCATCAATTTATTCATCCCAGACTCCTGTTGTGCTCAGTTTGCATTGGATGGTTGCAGGTTTATCGAGATGTAAACTCATTCCTTTAGTTTAGACCCAAGAAGCCTTGCAAGCTGCATTTGAAGTAACTTTTCAAACTTTAAAAATGAGGCTGGGTAGGCTGGGTGTATTTTCACTGGAGTATAGGAGGTTGAAAGGTGACCTTACAGAGGTTTATAAAATCATGAGGGGTTTAGATAGTGTTAATGGTAGGTCTCTTCTCCCTTGGATGGGGAATTTGAAGACTAGGCGACACATTTTTCAGGTGAGAGGAAAGAGAATTTAAAAAGACATAAGGGGCAAATTTTTTACGCACAAGGTGGTTCGCATGTGGAATGAACTTCCAGAAGAAGTGGTGGATGTGGGCACAATTATAGTGTTCAAAAGACATTGTGATAAGTACATGAATAGGAAAGGTTTGGAGGGATATGGGCCAGGAGCAGGCAGATGGAACGAGTTTAGTTTGGAATTATGTTTGGCATGGACTGGTTGGACCGAGGGGTCAGTTTCCGTGCTGTGTGACTCTATGAGCCGATGATGAGAAATAGCTGGAATCTTGCGCACCAGCAGAATTCCCGCTAATGGGTGACAGCTCCACCCACGCAAGGATGACCAAATTTTCCAAGGTCACATTGAAATTACCAGCACAACTGCAGGGAGCATGCTCACTGTCACTGCTGGGCAGAGTTGGGAGTGGGGTTTTGGTGCGGAGAAAAGAAAAAGGTGGAGAATGCGAGTCGAGAGGGAGGGGTGTGGGGTGACAGGTCGCCCAGGATGTCTCAGCTGGCAACAGAGTGAGGATCAGTGCAGAGACATCCTCTGTCCATGCGTAAATACGTCCTCTGTCAGAGAAGTCACCAGTGCCAACTAAACATGCATGGGCATCTTGGAATTGGCAATCCAAAAGCTTTGGGAAAATGGGGTGATTGACATGTCAGGTGACCAATGGCAGGGGCCTGTGGGCGGGGCAAATGAAGTAGGCAGTCACGTGATAACATCTCAGAGGATATTTCCAACCAGAGTTTGGCAACCGTGTGTAAACAGCTTTCTCATCTTTCCTCAGTATTTCGGCAAAATGACCCTCTCTTTGAAAGCACATAATTCACCTTTTCTTACAGAGCGACGCGCAGATTGAAAGCTTAACGTGACAGATGCAACACATTATGTCTATGACCATTGCTTTTAAAGCTGACAAACAACAGTACTCCTGTCTCCCGTTGTCTCGTCTCTATTGAGCACCTTATTTTTTTTCCGTGTGTGTTTAAAACTCAATGATTAGCAGCAGGCTTAGGCTACAGGTTGGCCTTTTCTCAGGATTTCGTCAGGAAATGCCGAGCATTCAGGGGAGATGGTGCCTGGCTGATAATGTCTCTGGTCTGTTAACCCAGAGACGTGGGTTCACATCCTGCCACGGTAATTGGTGGAAATTAAATTCACGGTCATAGAGATGTACAGCATGGAAACAAACTCTTCGGTCCAATTCATCCATGCCGACGAGATATCCTAAATTATTCTAGTCCCATTTGCTACCATTTGGCCCATATCCCTCTAAACCCTTCCTATTCATATACCCATCCTGATCCCTTTTACATGTTGTAATTGTACCAGCCTCCACCACTTCCTCTGGCAGTTCATTCCATCCACGCACCACCCTCTGTGTGAAAGAGTTACCCCTGGGTCCCTTTTATATCTTTCCCCTCTCACCCTAAACCTATGCCCTCTAGTTTTGCACTCCCGAACCCCAGGGAAAAGACCTGAGCTCTTCAGTCTATCCATGCCCCTCATGATAATTTATAAGCCTCTATAACGTCACCCCTCTACATCCAACGCTCCAGGGAAAATAGCCCCAGGCTATTCAGCCTCTCTCTATAGCCCAAACACTCCAAACCTGGCAACATCCTTGTAAATCTTTTCTGAACCCTTTCAAGTTTCACAACATCCTTCTTATAGCAGGGAGACCAAAATTGCACACAGTATTCTAAAAGTGGCCTAACCAGCGACAACATGACCTCTCAACTCCTATACTCAGTGACTGACCAATAAAGGCAAGCATACCAAAAGCCATCTTCACTATCCTTTCTACCTATGACTGCACTTTCAAGGAACTATGAACCTGCACTCCAAGGTCTCTTTGTTCTGTAACACTCTCCAGGACCTTGCCATTAAGTGTATAAGTCCTGCCCAGATTTGTCTTTCCAAAATGCAGCACCTCACATTTCTCTAAATTAAACTCCATCTGCCACTCCTCAGCCCATTGGCTCATCTGATCAAGATCCCATTGTACTCTGAGGTAACCATCTTCGATGTCTAGTACGCCTCCAAGTTTGGTGTCATCAGCAAACTTACTAACTAAAGCTCCTATGTTCACATCCTAATTGTTTATATAAATGATGAAAAGCAGCGGACCCAGCACTGATCCTTGTGGCACACCGCTGGTCGCAGGTCTCCAGTCTGAAAAGCACCACCACCCTCTGTCTTCTTCTTTCAAGCCAGTTCTGTATCCAAATGGCTAGTTGTCCCTGTATTCTGTGTGATCAACTCTTGCTAACCTGTCTACCATGTGAAACTTTGTAGAACACCTTACTGAAGTCCATATACATCACGTTCACTGCTCTGCCCTCATCAGTCTTCTTTGTTACTTCTTCAAAAAACTCAATCAAGTTAGTGAGACACAATTTCCCACGCACAAAGCCATGTTGACTATCCCTAATCAGTCCTTGTCTTTCAAAATACTTGTAAATCTTGTCCCTCAGGATTCCCTCCAACAACTTGCCCAATGTCAGGCTGACCTCTCTATAGTTCGCTGGCTTTTCCTTATCACATTTATTAAATAGAGGCACCATGTTAGCCACCCTCCAGTCTTCCAGACCTCACCTGTGACTATCGATGATACAAATATCTCAGCAAGGAGCCCAGCAATCACTTCCCTAGCTTCCCACTGAGTTATAGGCTACACCTGATCAGATCCCAGGGATTTATCCACCTTTATGCAAATTAAGACATCCAGCACCTCCTTCTCTGTAATATGGACACTTTTCAAGATGTTGCTATTTATTTCCCCTCGTTCTCTATTTCCATATCCTTCTCCACAGTAAACACTGATGCAAAATACTTCTTTAGTATCTCCCCCATCTCCTGCAGTTCCACACATAGGCAGCCTCGCTGATCTTTAAAGGGCCCTATTCTCTTCCTAGTTACTCTTTTCTCCTTAATGTATTTGTAGAATCCCTTTGGATTCTCCTTAACTCTATATGTCAAAGCTATCTCATGTCCCCTTTTTGCCGAAATAAATTCTCGAAATGAAAGCTAATCTAATTCACCAATGCCATTTAGAGAAGAATATCTGTTGTCCTTACCTGGTCAAGCCTGCATTTGACTCCATGCCTGCAGCAACATGGTTGACCTGTCCCTGTCCTCTGAAATGGCCAAACACGTCATTCAGTTTAAGGGTGAGTAGGGATGGGCATCAAATACTGGCCTTGCCACAAAAGAATGATTTTTTTTGAAAAATATTTAATTAAATTCCAAGCGAAGTTGCACAAATTCTACCTTTTTAATTGGAGAGAAAAGCTTTTTTCTCCTGGTATACAAGCAAGTATTGTTTTGGGAGCTGCCTAGAAACAAAACCACATTGGAGTTGAAAGTGCAAACCCAATAGAAAGAGTCCAGTCTGTTGTGTGTAGTGAGGGTATTGGACAAAATTAATAACGCTGCCTCTATAAAGCGTTTACCACTTTGATACATTGCAACCAGAAAGGTTCCAGTGAATCTGCTGTGCATTTACTCATTGAGTGTGGTGCAATTAAATGGACTGCAAGGATAGTGCTGGGGGGAGTGAGTTACAGAGAGAGTGAGCGACAAAGATTGCAACGTCTATCTCGCACCTCTGAGCCCTGGAATGTTCAAAGAGCTGGAAGATAAAATCCAGGCAGTTAATTTCTGAAATCCTTTCTCTTTGAATGCAGACAGCCACTTAAGGGGAATGTCCTCAGCACCGAGCAGAATTGTAGAATCCCTACAGTGTGGAAACAGGCCCTTTGGCCCAACAAGTCCACACCGACTTTCCGAACATCCCACCCAGACCCATCCCTCTAACCTACACATCCCTGCACACTGCAGGCAATTTAGCATGGCCAATCCACCTAGCCTGCATATCTTTGGACTGTGGGAGGAAACTGGAGCACCCGGAGGAAACCCACACAGACACGGGGAGAACGTGCAAACTCCACACAGACAGTTACCCGAGGGTGGAATCAAACCTGGGTCCCTGGTGCTGTGAGGCAGCAGTGCTAACCACTGAGCCACCGTGCCACCCTTAGAGTTCAGCTTTCCCCAAATGGTTAGCATGCTGAGATGCTTTCTAGTTCAAAGAAAAGGTCCCAGTCAACCCAGAAAATCTGGTCACCTGAACCTACACCAATCCCTGGGCGGTTTCCTGCGATGGTTCTAACAGCATCCCGAACACCGACGAGAGGGAGTACCATTTTGTCCTCAATGCTCCCCACCTTCCCTCAACCCATGCCAAAATATAGGGAGGAAATTTCAACTCCACCTTTCACAGTAATGCCAACTCTTGGATCTACCATTGTGAAGGTGTAAACGCTGCCTGCCTGTATTTGACAATTGATACCTGGTGCCAATCCCGCCTTGAGATGTATGACAGGCTGTGGACAGCAAGCAGAATGGGCGCTGGCAAATTTCCTGACCCATCCTACAGTTAGCCCGGAGAACTGATATACCTTATAAAAACCTGAAAGAACTGCGAACGCCGTAAATCAGGAACCAAAATGGAAGCTGCTGGAAAAGCTCAGCAGTTCTGGCAGCATCTATGAATTGAAAAAAATCAGAGTTACCATTTTGGGTCCAGTGACTCTTCCTCAGAACTGTTGACAGGAAGTTGCTGAGGAAGGATCACCAGACCCGAAATGTTAACTCTTGATTTCTCTTCACCGATGCTGCCAGACCTGCTGAGCTTTTCCAGCAACTTCTGTTTTTGTTCCTGATTTACAGCATCGGCAGTTCGTTCAGTTTTTATTTAGCCATGGGAAATGCAGGGTTACAGGGATAGGGTAGGGGGGTTGTGTGTGGGTGGGACGTTGTTCAGAGGTTCGATGTGGTCTCGATGGGCCTGCTGTCACACTGTAGGGATTCTATGATTCGTCTATCTTAAATTCAACTATAACTCACTTCATTTAATTTCACTGTACTTTAATCTAAATCACATTTAACCCTAACTCTGACTTTAACTCGATTAGTTTGGTTTGAAACAACTATTACCCCAATTTGAGTGAAGTGGCCAACTTTTGCTCTCAATGTAGGCCTTGCCTCGTGGTTCTTTGTTTACTCTGAAGATAACTTCAGGGCACGTGCTTTTCAGGTGTTGGTCTCAAGGACTCCTCTTGCTAAATCCTTTGTTATGGTAGCTTTGATCCCAAAGTGTGCCCACTTTCCAGAAACTTCCCTCGCATTCAGCCAATGAATTGACCAAACCTGATCATATTGTTCAGTCTCAGCCAGTGGAGTTTACTGGTTAACAACTCCCAAAATGTTCCAACCGAGTCGTAAACATCCACATCCCATGCTCATATAAGGTAACATGGTGCCAGTATGTCAAGGAGACAGCACGGTGACACAGTGGTTAGCACTGTAGCCTCACAGCACCAGGGATCTGGGTTTGATTCCACCCTCGGGTGACTGTCTGCGTGGAGTTTGCACGTTCTCCCCGTGTCTGTGTGGGTTTCTTCCCACAGTCCAAAGATGTGCTGGTCAGGTGGGTTGGCCATGCTATAGTGCCCAGGGAGGTGAAGCTAAGTGGATTAGGCATGGGGAAAAGTGCAGGGATAGGGTAGGGTTCTGGGTGGGATGCCCTTCAGAGGTGTGGTGTGGATTTGATGGGCTGAATGGCCTGCTCCCGCACTGTAGGGATTCTATTACCACAGGAAACTGCAGGTCACAGCTTACAGGATAAGTCATGGCTGCAGTTTGACAGAGTTTAAACTAGCTTGACCAAAATTCCCAGCGTGCTCTTAACCAATCTTGTAGCCATTTCTTCTGACCATTGGAACACTCCGACTCTAGTACCTTTGAGCCAGCCAATGTCTTAACCTCGCTTGAACAAGTTTGTGAAGTCAGCCCAAGTCTTTTCCATAGAAGCAGAATCCCCCGGGAAATGGATAGCATCTTAACATCTAACCTACTTGCTGCCTTGAAAGTATGATCCCTGGTCCTCACAGTTTGAAGCCAGCTACCTCGGCAAACACAATCCTGATGGTTACCTCTCCTCTTTCATTTCACAGAGCTCCTTTGTCAAAAGGAAATGATCCGGGATGTCTATCGCAAGCAGCAAGGCTACGCCTCATGCCAGACCACAGTCAAAGTCCCTCGGCTGGAATGCAAGGGGAGCTGTGCCAATGGAGAGTGCTGTGTGCCTCTACGTAGCAAGCGACGGAAATATGTCTTCCAGTGTACAGACGGCTCCTCGTTTGTGGAAGACGTGGAGCGGGTTGTTGACTGCGGCTGTGGGAGTTGTTCATCGTAGGGGTCCCAAAATGGGAAGCGGAGGCTTAACCAACAGCATGTGCCTGTGACAAGTATTGAACCCTTTAACTCTCGTAGTGGACCAAAAGAAATGGAAATATATTGTAAGATAACAAATAGAACCTATTTTTATTATTAAAAAAAGGACTATTTTCTTCAGGTATTACTAAAATATATCACATCGCCTGGGTATGTATATCATACTTTGATACCTTTGCAAGATTTTTATTTTCTGTTTTATTAACCTGACAGAGATGTTCTGGGAAAAGCTTGCTCATTTGGTTGATGTGAAAGTGTTTGAAGGACCTGTTGTATTACTGTCCAACTGACTGTCAAAGGTAAATAAGAAGTTCAAAGCTTTTGAAGAAAGGAACATCGCTGAACACTGACTGGCTCTTCGTTTTATTGTAGCCTCCATCATCTTTGCTGACCTCTGTGTCAAAAGACTTTTCGCGTGACTGTCAATACAATGTAATCAATACTCTCCAGATCCCCAATAACTTGCTGTCTTGGATTTAGCAATCATAATGTGGGTGAATCTGAGACCGCCAGTACTCCTGTGTAACTGAGAGCAGCTTCTAGCATCCACACTTGCACAGTTAAACAGAAATCCAGAAATTGTCATCAGTGGTTCTTATGCTTCTCTATGGGTTGCACCATTGAAGTTGCTATGGACCAGGTTTATTATTGACCAACAGGAAAAACATTGGACTGATCAGGACCTCCACTTTTATACCATTTTACTTGCTGAAAATGTTGCCATTTTTAACTGCTTTTAAAATTTCGAAATTATTACTGAACAACTCTGATCCTGAAACACATTTCTTTTTCCATTTGTCAATATCAAAATTTTATGATGTTTGGAAAGCTGTGACATTTTGACTTGATCCCAAGGGTCTGTCTTAAACTTTATTTCACTCTCCATGAAGTTACATTTGACAATCACAGATAATTGGTGCTTTTACCTTCCTGACTTAAAGTCTATGGGAATTCTCCAATGCAATTCATCACTTGTCCTGGTTAATTGCAGAACACGTGGAGATTGTCTTGACTTGATGTTATAGGCCAGACCAGACCCCCTCAAAATATATTATGAAGATAGCTTAGACCCTAACTTGTTCTTATTTTAAAGGTAAGTGTCAGGCATTGCATTCCAGATGCAATGCGACTGGCCAAACTGCATGACATTAAGCAAAACACAATTTATTCAAACACTATAGTTAAAACACAACAAAAGAAAGAAGAAGGGTCCAGGCCCGAAACGTCAGCTTTCCGGTCCTCTGATGCTGCCTGGCCTGCTGTGTTCATCCAGCTCTACACCTTGTTATCTCTTATAAAAGAAAGAAGAACTGGGAATAACCTAACTCTACTTAAAAACTTAACAGAATGATAGATACAGTAACTATTACTAATTAACTGTTCCAATATAGTAACATCCCATAAACACACCCTTGGCAAAAGGCAAATTCAGAAGACAGATTTTTGCTGCATGCAAGCCAGCAGCCCAGGAACAGAACTCCCAGCTTTTGGCTGTAATTGAGAGAGGAGAAAAAAAAAGGTTTCCACTTCTTCAAGCCCACAACAGCAACTGCTGGTGAAAACTAAACGATAAAAATCCCTGGTTCTGTGGGTGAGAGCTTGACCACACCCAGTCAGGCTGCTTCTATTGTTCCAACTTTCAAATAAAATACCCACGGCTTCACAAGTTGTTTATCTTCTCAAAGACAGCTCAGCACCTGTGCCCCCTCAGTCTCTGTTTCTCTGTAGAAGAAACAAGGACAAAATACACCCCTTAAAGCCACAGCATCGTAACACTTGGCACTGCAATTAAGTTAATGCTGGAGACAGTAGAATCGGTGAGATAGGGATAACTAGATCTTTGTTGACAGCTTTCTTTGAGGTCAGTGTTATGCAGTGTCTCTTCTTTGCAGATCAGAAAGCACAGGCCATTGTTAACAATAACAATGTGAAGCATACAGTAGAAACCCAATAACATGAATACAATACAAAATCCATTACAGATACCCAACAACATGGATATGGTGTGAACCAAACTGCAGATATCCAAAAATGAGAAAACGTGTCGAGCATTCTGTAAAGAAACAACACAACATGTAGACCACAGTACGTGCCCAGTATCTTTGATAACAGGATATAGTTTTTCACAGATTCCCAATAACCAAGTGAAAAATATATGTACTGAATTTACACAAGTGGCCTAAACACCGTGCAATATATTGAAGATACCCAATACTCTATTAATATAATGTGGAATGCCCTTTTGTTACCTAGCATTGAGTACCATGCAGATATCCAATACCAGATTATAGAATTCCTAAAGTGTGGTAGCAGGTCATTCGGCCCATCAAGTCCACACCGACTGTCTGAAGAGTATCCCACCCAGACCCACCCCATCCCTATAAGCCTGCATTTCTTATGGCTAATCCACCAAGCCTGCACATCTTTGGACTGTGGGAGGAAACCGGAGCACCCGGAGGAAACCCACGCAGACACGGGGAGAATGTGCAAACTCCACACAGACAGTCGCCCAAGGGTGGTATCAAACCTGGGTCCCTGGCGCTATGAGGCAGCAGTGCTAACCACTGAGCACCGTGCCACCCTATGAAGATCTATGAAGTTCCTGGTTAGACTACTGCATGCAGTATCTCAACTGGTTGCAGAACTCTAGAGTTTATAATGAAAATCTCCAGAAATTCAAAACAGTATTGATCAGGAAATAAACATAAACACAAACACAGATAGGGCTGCATTAGCCCTGCATATAGCCCATAGGTCACCATCTGCACATTCCCACATCGGGAGCTGACCCTGTACAAACATCACCTGAGAGATGTTTACTCGTTACAGTTACAGAGCACAGAAACAGACCCTTTGGTCCAACTCATCCATGCCAACCAGATATCCTAAATTAATCTAATCCCATTTGCCAGCATTTTGTCCATTGCCCAATACCATTTAATGAAGAGCTTTTCATCTCTGACAAACATAATTAAATGTCTAGACCTCAAGGCTCCTGTCATTGCTAAAGCAGGAAGTAATGTTCTTTTATCCATTAGACATTGTTACCAGACATTAGATCATACTGTTGAGGAAATGCGTATAAAATTTAATTCTGATAACTGTAGTACATGCAGTACAGAAGGAGATTACACATCTGCACAGATGTTGGGGTTGATTCTATACTGTGACACACCAGAGCTGTATAAAACTGCTCTGTGTCATGTGATGTCTGAGCATCTTATTGATTTTCTGTCTCATATTGCTGCCCCCAAGATATCTGCTATCTCAGATGTCTCACGTGCCAACCCTTGTTCCTATTATCTGCTCTTGAGGATTTGGGTATCTGACATTTAAGCTTCCAGCAGAAGAATATTTATTATTTGTCAAGTGTAATTCAGCCGTTTGAACCAACTGATTTACACAGCATTGAGCATAAATATCTAAGAGGAAGAGCCACACACTGAGAAGCACAATATGGTTTTGATGCAAGTGATGGATGACAGCAGGCACTGAATTTTCTTTTGAGAGTTTGATGTGGAAATAAATCACTGCTTAGTCCAAAGAAAAGTTAAACTGCGAGGAATTCCTTTGCTGGTGCCCCATTCTTATTAAATTTCCGATCTAGCATTTCAATAGATGGAAGAACAAACTATACCTGCGCACCACTTTGGTTGCAGTGGCAAGACAATGATCAATCAACAAGGAGATCAGGGCTTTTGGGATCTAGCGCTGTCTATCAGATAATTCCCATTGACATAACACACCGCAACCTCTCTATGCCCAACTATTGCTCAGGCAGCGCTCAATCTGTGGAAGAGATTTGCATGAGTGGGGCAGTAGATTTACAGAGATTTCTCTACCCACTTCATTAAAAAGTGTAGAGAAATCTGAGAGAGAAGGCAAATGACATAAAAATCCAATCAGTATCTACTGCACTTAACCTAGTGCCTTACATTTAGCCCATTAACTGAAGTATTTACCTAAGTGCAATGTGTGTCAATTTTTACTGCATTGATCTAAGTGCCTTATACCTTAACCTGTGGGAAAGTCTTAGCATCAACCCGATGCCTAATAAATTAACCTGAGAGACCTTACAGTCAACACATTGCCTTACACATTAACCTGAAAGTCTCACAGGAACCCCAATGCCTTATGCCTTAACATAAGGACCCTACAATCCACCCAATGCCTTATGCATTAAAATGAGGACTTACAGTCAACCTTGTGCCTTAAACATTAACCCAAGAGCCGTAAACTCAAGAGGATGCCTTACATATTGAGTATTTTCCCTCAGAACATCCCAAATACGCTGAAGGGTATCTGATGCTCATGGTTATCTCACTCTACAGCACTGAAGCCAATGGGCTGTGTTGTGTTACTCCCAGTGAACTCAATATTACACACAGAGATAACAAGGTGTAGTGCTGGATGAACACAGCAGGCCAAGCAGCATCAGAGGAGCAGGAA